CTGGCTACTGCCCCAGTCCATCGCCCTGAATGGCACCCACCTGAATGAGAAAGGGACCACTGAGGAGAAGTCCCACCCACCGATGTCCATAGCTCAGTGGTTTGAGCATTGACCTGTTAAACCCAGGGTTGTGAATTCAATCCTTGAGGGGGCCATTTACGGAACTGGGGTAAAAAGCTGTCTGGGGATTGGTCCTGCTTTGAGCAGGGGGCTGGACTTCCAACCCTGATATTCTATGATTCTATGATCTCAGAGCTTTCCATATGCTGCATGGCTAAGAGGAGGAGGTCACCTGAAATGGAGCCAGCACTTTGCAGGTACCTAGGCCGAAAGCCATCGATTCCAATGGGAGTTAGGAGCCCAAATACCTTTGAGGTTCTCTGGGCCCTACCCCAAGACAGGGGAACCACAGCCCCGAAACTAACCATGGCTTCTTAAAGGGCACCACCACCTTCCCAGCCCCTTGTAATGCAGCACGGGGAACTTGTCAGCTCCACCACATGGCCCTTAGCTCCTTAGAGAAACAGTGTGGATGAGGGATGGAAAATCCCAGCCCGGCGCTCGGCGGGGGTCATTCTTGGAAGGGATTTAAAAAGCAAACAAATTAAAAGCAGATTTGGGAAGCAAAGGCTGAGTTCCATGGCTCCTGGGGCTAATCCTCCCCCCCCCCCCCCGGACAGTGGGGGAGCGAGGCTGGAATTAAAGCTGGGGAAATGTGCTTGCTTTCGGCGGCTCCCTTCTGAAGGCATCGGAGAGGAGCTGGACCGCACCTATTGAAGCAACACGTCCGTGTTTCACACTGCACAAGATAAAGCCCTGATTTCTGTACTTCGGGCTAAATGACACCAGCCTTGTCTACACGAGAAAACTGTCCCGTTTAGCCAAACCAGTTTCAATCTGCTGTAGAGCAGAGCCTCCCCGTCTATCCATGCTACTGTTTCAGGGGAAGGGTTCTTGGCACCCGTGTGGCTTATCTTGATTCCAGAGGGCAGGTCTACACTACCGCTGAAGTCAATCTAGCGTACGTTGCTCGGGGGTGTAAAAGAGCCGTCCATACACGCTCTCCCGCAGACATAGGCAAAGACAAAGCGCTCTCCTGTCTGGTGCAGCTGCGCCGCTGCGGTGTAGACTTGCCCTCTCAGACTGACGCTCTTAAACCGAAACGGGCGAGGAGAGATTGGCACCGATTTAACGGCATCAGTTTCTAAACTCATTCCAGTAAATCGGTGTCATTTTCTCAGGGCTCGGGGGCTGCGTTTTCCGTTGCTCTGCGTGGGACTCCCTGTCTGTGGCCATCACAGGCTGCGTTGCTTTGGGAAGGACGCAGAGCCCAAAGGCAGTAAAGAAAGAGCCGATTTAACAAGAGATTCTTCTAAGGCTGCAGATCCGGCTCCTGCTGACTGCCCCTTCCTGCCCCAGGGTGCCTTCCCGGCTGTGCCTGCTTAGTGTATTGACCCGGCTAAGTTTTCGCTGCGCTGCATGGGGACGGCAGGCCAGGTTCATGCACCAGCAGACCCAGCAAGCCCATTTCTGCTTTGACGATAATGTTCACATGGTGTGCAGACTAACACAGGACTGCTGCCCTAGGTCTGGCAGCCCTACCAGCTTTCTTTGCTGGAAAGGCAGCAAGGCTAGTGGTTAGAGCATGAGTTTGGGAGTCAGGACTCCTGGGTTCTATAGCCAGCTCTGTCACTGCCTCACTTGGGCAAGTCACTTCCCCTCTCTGTGCCTCAGTTTCCCCATTTGAAATACAGGGTAAGCACACTGGAATTCCCCACCCTCCTCCCCAAGCAGGGCCGTCAGGCCGAGTTCATGCAGAGCCTTGAGACGCTCAGGCAAACTGCTGCCAAGTGTGGCTTTCTCCCACACATCTGCCCCTCACCCCTCTTGTCTCTACTAGCTGGGATGAGAACTGTGCTCCCTCCCCTCTGGCTGCCCCCTGAGTCCATTACCCCTTTGTTATGTTCGTGGCACACATCCAAAGACAGCTAAAAATACCATCTGGGCAGGTTCCACTTTCATTCTCGTAACCCAGAACGAGAGCACACAGTAACCTGAAGCTCACGCTCAGGGGCCAACTGGCTGCCGTATTTAGGGTCGGGAAAGAATTTTCCTTCAGGTCAGACTGGCAGAGACCCTGGGGGTTTCTCGCCCTCCTCTGCAGCGCGGGGCACGGTCACTTGTTGGTTTGAACTGGAGTAAATGGGGAATTCTCTGTAACTTGAAATCTTTAAATCAAGGACTCCAGTAACTCAGCCAGAGGTTCTGGACCTAGTGGCGGAGCAGGTGGGTAGTGGTGGATTCTCTGGCCTGTCACGTGCAGGACGTCAGAGTAGATCAGTGGTGCCGAGACTGCGGCTCGTGAGCTACAAGTGTCTGGTTAACGTGTCTCCTTGCGGCTCTTTGCAGCCCCGTTATATTAACACAGTGTGATTTAATTAGTAACTGATCTAAGTTATTAACCAATCAGGATGCTTTTCCTATGTTATTAAAAGGGCCCTACCAAATTCACGGCCATGAAAAACGTGTCATGGACCGTGAAATCTGGTCTCTCCCGTGAAATCTGGCTATTGTAGAGGGGTCACAGTATAGCCACCTTTACTTCTGTGCCGCTTTCAGAGCTGGATGGCCAGAGAGTGGTGGCTGCCGGCCAGGCACCCAGCTCTGAAGGAAGCACCACCACCACCAGCAGTGCAGAAGTGAGGGTGGCATGGTGGGGAGGGGGGGTTGTCACTTTTTTGAGGGGTGGCAGGGCCAGCCTTATGGGTGGGTGATGTGGGCGGCTGCCCAGGGTGCTGTGGTCAGGGGGTTGCTGTGGTCACCACAAACACACGTAGCCAGCCCAAGGCCCTTTTTATCTCCAAGCACTGGGGAGGGGCAGGGCTGGGGCTGGGAGCACCCCATGGCTGGGTCAGACCCACCCCCAGTGGCAGTGTAGAAGTAAGAGTGGCAATACCACACCATGCCACCGTCACTTCTGCGCTGCTGCTGGCAGTGACACTGCCTTTAGAGCTGGGCTCCTGGCCAGCAGCCGCCACTCACCAGCCGCCAAGCTCTGAAGGCAGCAGTGCAGAAGTAAGGGTGGCACGGTATGATATTGACACCCTTACTCTGTGCTGCTGCTGACGGCAGCGCTGCCTTCAGAACTGGGTACCCGGCCAGCCGCCGCTGCTCTCCAGCCACCCAGCTCTGAATGTAGTGCCGTCACCAGCAGCAGCGCAGAAGTAAGGGTGGCACTACCGTGACCCCCCTACAATAGCCTTGTGACCCCTGCCCATGATCCCGTTTTGGGTCAGGATCCCCACAGTTACAACACCATGAAGTATCAGATTTAAATATCTGAAACCGTGAAATTTAAGATTTTTAAAATCCTATGACCATGAAATTTACCAAAATGGACTGTGAATATGGTAGGGCCCTAGTTATTAACCAATTAAGATACTAAGTTATCAACTTATTTACTGTGAGAATAATATATAGATATCATAATTTATATATAATATAATAATATATATAAACTAAATATTTCCCTGTCACACTGTTTAAATATGAATAGTACTACAGTAAATGAAACAATAAATTCACACCCCTGTGGCTCTGTTGGGTAAGGCTAATCAATTTTGGCTCCTGAACCACTGAGGTCTGAGTACATTGGACTAAATGAGCATGATGGTCCCTTCTGGCCTTGAAGTCTAGGAATGTGTGAGAGATAAAGCAGGCTGCTCCCTATGCAGAGAGGCACCACTCACCCCACCATGCTCTAGGCTGGTTCGGGCCAGCCTGACTGCCCATCACCATTTGCAGGCTTCCCTACAAAGGCCCCTAACCTGCAAGTAGGACCAGGAACCCCCTCACCCTCCACACTCTTAAAGGGATAGCTTGCAATTCCAGGACAATCCTCAATACTCTGCACCCTGCAGATGCTGCAACCCCGCTCCACTTGGGTGCTGATGGTTTGTGGTTGGTCTCCCCTGAGCAGCGAGGGCTCTCTGTATCTTGAGCCAGCCTGTGGCTCCAGAGTGGCTGGTCATCTGTGATAAGAGCCTCCTGCAGAGATAACAGCCCTCAGCCCTTCACTAGCAGCTGCCAGCACAGGGCTCTTCATACACAGGCATGGACTAAACCCCTGACTCTCCCTGTCATGGCAATGGGGGAAACTGAGGCACGGAGCATGCAGGGGACTGCCCTAAGCAGAAGCAGAGCCATGAGTAGAACCTAGGAGCCTTATTCCCCCCTCTGTGCCGCACCCAGCAGACCGGCCTGGCTCAGACGTTGGCAGAACAGGGTCTTTGATTTGGTGTCCACACAGTGGGGACAGCCCAGACAGCAGCTGAGCAGCTCCCCACAGCCAGTCACACCACACCAGAGCCTGGGCTGAGTCCCCAAGCTGTTCCCAGAGCCTAGGTCGAGTCCCTGAACCGTTCCCAGCCTCCGGGGCCGCTCCGGGCCACTGCGACAGCTGCACCAGAGCCGGAGAGGTGACGTGAACTCTGCCTGTGTATTTACCTATAACCATCCCAGCAAAACACAGCGCTGGGGGATGGCTAGAGAGGGGTGTACAGGGGGTGTGTGTGGGAGGTAGATGGACAGATAGATGCTGGTGGAAGGATAGATCTAGACTTAGTGCATCGTCCATTTCAGGCGTTCTGTGTGCCCCCACAACTCACATGGACCTATAACCCAAACTCTGCAAACAAACCCACGTCTGTTCCTCTCAGGAAGTGCATAAAAAGCCCCAACTAAGCCCCTGAGTGTGGAGGCTGGGTCCCTCTGGGGAGCTTCATTTATCACAGTCAGCTGGAGCCAAGGGGGACTTGATGCAGCCCTTTGACTTCCCAAACAGAGCTCTGCCTGACAGCCGACAGACAGACGCAGGGGGTGGGGGGCGGGCTGTGTATATCATGACATTGCACAGCACATTGCTGGCCCTGGATTCTCCCCAACTAGCGGAGCAGAGACACAAGGCTTGGGGAGGGGGGAGAAAAAGGGGTGGGAGGAGGGTGGAGTTTTTCTTGACCCAAGATCCTGTTTCAACAAGTGACCCTGTCCAGAGAAGGAGAGGGGCGAAGGAGGAAGCTATTTAAAGAAAGCTGGGAAGTCTCCTCTCTCGACTGGTTTTTCCTTTCCTCCTCCTGCGTTCCTTCCATCCAGCCCCCGGCACCCCGGGCTGACGAAAATGGGGAAAGGGGTGAGTAGGATGTTTTGAGTGCGTTTTAAGGGGATCGTGCTGGGAATGGCTTGAATGGGACTGAAGACGACAGTGGTGCTGTGGTAGAAAAAGAAGCGGGTAAACAAACCTAAACTAAACGCCACATTCCCCGAAGGAGAAGTGGGTAAATTCCAGCTACCCGAGTCTGCCCTCAGCTACACGACTGGGGAACGAGGGACTGGAGAGCTTCAAAGTTTGAGACAGGAGTGAAGCAGCAACAAACGAGGGGGAACATGGGCATGTATCTTTCTGGGGCTAGTTTGTGCAGCTTGGAGTGCGAGCAGGGCCAGTGCTTAATATGTGCCGGGGCTGAGTGCCAGCACCTCTGGGCTTGGCAGTTCATAACCCCGGCACTTCTGGGCTTGGCAGTTCAGAACGCGGCACCTCTGGGCTTCGCAGTTCATAACCCGGCACCTGTGGGCTTGGCAGTTCATAGCCCAGCACCTGTGGGCTTGGCAGTTCATAACCCCGGCACCTCTGGGCTTGGCAGTTTATAGCCACAGCACCTTTGGGCTTGGCAGTTTATAGCCCCAGCACCTCTTGGCCTGGCAGTTCAGAACCCGGCACCTGTGGGCTTGGCAGTTCAGAGCCCCGGCACCTCTGGGCCTGGCAGTTCAGAACCCGGCACCTGTGGGCCTGGCAGTTCAGAACCTGGCACCTCTGGGCTTGGCAGTTCAAAGCCCCAGCACCTCTGGGCCTGGCAGTTCAGAGCCCCGGCACCTCTGGGCCTGGCAGTTCAGAACCCCGGCACCTCTGGGCC